CAGAACGTAGTTCAACACGTGGCAGTTACTAGCATTCAGTTTTGTGTGAGAGAGTTTTCAAAAAGATTAAGAAAGATGGCACAGGGCAGGAAACCAAAGACAGAAGAAGAAAGAGCGAGCGGGTGTGAGAGAAGAGACAGGGAAGGACATCAGTGGGGGAAGAGGGTGCTGACAGCACCACGTCGGACTCCTGCGCGGGTGGGGAGAGGGCGTCCGAAAGGGGGGAAAGGGCCAAGTCTGGGATAATGGTTGACTTTCTTCTCATCACAATCCATTTTGAGAATATGAGACATGATGGGCCTTTGCCCCTAAAATAGAATATAGGCTTATATATTCAAGGGACCCATGAACCATAGTTTAGGAGCTCCTGGTCTAAACAAGGCTACAGAGAAGCAAAAGCGAAGTGGAAGCCGCTGAGAGGCAGGAAGATGGGGGGTTGGGAGCAAGAGCCGGAAGGGAAGCCGGCAGGCAGGGAGGGCCCATGCTCCCCGCGCCCCCACCGCCCCCCACACCTTCCCTGCCCCTGGGCTGGGCTCTGGAGCCGGCACCCCTCCGCGTGTTGTTTCCCACGCAGACTCCCTCCCGCGTTGAAAGGGAACTCTGTCTTAAGTCATTGGTAAGAGCCATCCCAGCGTGACACCGGAAGGGCGCCCTCACTCCTGAGCAGTGTCACCTTAGCAAGTCATGTACCGCTCAAAGGGACGAATGTTTCTCATTTGTACAACGAAAGCATTCACATCGGTGAAACCGGACAATTTTGAATCTACACAAAGTCTCTCGGAAGCTTTACAGGGGCCAGTGGGAGTCCTGTCTCCAAGCTAGACCACAGCAGCAGGGCTGCCGAGGCTTCTCTCCTTCCCGGTTCCCGGGGGCTACGGAATCGGGGTTAGCAAAGAGGTTAGCCTTTGTGGGGGGCAGAAAGAACTTCCCTGTTCGCCCTTCTGTATACCGTGGCCCTGTGATTAAAGAAGGTGGCCGTCTATATTGAAACCAGGGCCTCAAGTATCAAAATCTGCCCTCTGCCCTAGGCCTTGCTTGTTCTCCCCTTGCGGTGTCAGCTGGCGATGGCCCAGGAAAGCATTTTGGAGTTGGGCTCTACAAATTCTCTATATTCCAACTTCACTGTTAATTCCCAATACATACACTTGCCCCTAGGATTTGCATTCTAGAATTCTTACCAAGAGATGAGGAGCTACGATTAGAAGCTACTGCAAGGGCTTTGAAGCAGGGATCATATAAGAAATGAAGTTTCTGAATTAGGCCAGCCCCTTTACAGGAACAGGGACTGCTGACATAATATTCTTAACCTCTTGTTTTCTTAGGGGTCATATTTCCTAAGCATCTGGGGGCTGGGGGCAAGAATTGTTCAAAAGAACAGAGGCATTGCTTTGGAACACTTGGAGCAGACAATATCCCCATTCAAGGGATCAAGGTGGGCTGGGCAGGGGTAATGGATGCAGGAAGAAAGGAATAGATCAAGTGTGAAAATTCTGAGCCAGACAGGCTTCACCAGCTTCCTTCTAGCTAATCAGACCCTTTTCAAAGAGCAGTGTGAGCTAAATTGTTGCTTTGATGATCTTTCCCCTTTTTTCCCACTAAGTGAACATAGAAGCTTATGGCATCCATTCATAAGCAATCCTACAAGATGGAGGCTCTGGGCCAAAAGTGGACCACAGCCTCCTCCTTCTAGTCAGCCAAGTGTGGTGCTCATTAGGAAAGCCGACTCAAGACTACCTGTCACCTCCCTGAGGTGTGTTTCGCCCACTAGGTGAGCTAGCAGGTGTCAGCACCTTTCCCGCAGGCCCACCCCATGGCACGGGCAAGCTGCAGCAGAGCAAGGGGTTTTAGGGCAAAGGGGGAAGGAAAAGAGTCTACAGAGGTGTACAAAACAGATCATCACACCCTGCCTGTTTGTCCACCTGTGGAACAGAGGATTTACTTGTCGCCCGGGGGTGTCAAGAATCCATGATGCGCAGGAATACTGCTCGAAGTGTGGTCCTTGGGCCATAGACATCAGTCACGTGTGCTTTTAAATTCACATTCCTGGGCCCTACCTCAGACCTACTGAATCTAAATCTCTGAGGAATGAGCCTGAGAATCTGTGTTTCATAATTTTCTCCCCTCCCTCCCCCAGGTGATTATTATGCAAAGGAAAATTTGAGAATCTGTTCTGGCAGGACACGCTCTTCTCTGAGACTCAGGGGAAGTGGGTTCCTGGTGCTGGCTGTCCTTCAAGCTTACAGGGCCTCCGTGTTATCATCTCTGGGGTCAGGGGTCAGCAAGCTATGGCCCTTGGACCAAATCTGGCCCACTGCCTGCTTTTGTAAATGAAGTTTTATTGGAACACAGCCCCAACACCTGTTTGTGTGTTTTCTTTGGCTGCCTTTGTGCAGAGGCAGAGTTGAGTAGCTGAGACAGAGGCTGCTGAACGTAGCTTAAAATCTCTACTGTCTGGCCCTCTACGAAAGAAGTTGGCCCGTAGGTTACATGATTTCTAAGGACTTTTCCAACCCTGAGATCTTTAAAAGAGAGTTCATTACCCTCTTAATAGATATATTTATATTGTTTCTGTGTCAGTCATTTCTTTTATTTTAGACATGGCTAGAGAAAGTGAGGGAAGCCAGAGGTGGAAGAGGAAAGAGACAACCATTGAAGACTGAGAACTAGGTAATTGGTTGTCATTGAAAAAACAAATAAAAGGGGAAACCAGAGAAGGCAGGGTTCCACGCTGAGTTTGTTTTAAATTGGCAAAGGGTGGTCTGGTCTAAAACTGTGAAGTAAGAGGACACTGGTTTTGGTGCCTAGAACTTTCCACCTGCCCTCCTTCAACCATCTCCCCAGAACAGGGCTTACATCCCCAGGGTAAGCTTGGGATCTCCTTCTACCCAACAAGATTTCCTTTCTTTATCTCACCCATTCAGAGATAAAGGTCTTACTTTAAATGAATCCATGCTGATAAGCTAATGAGCAAAGAAAAAAGTCCCTCTCAAATAAAAAAAAAAGAGCGAACTACAGCTCTTTGTTATCTAATTGCTAGACTAACCGGCTGGTAAGTCTACAGCTGCATTCTCCAGTCACCTCCAGTCACCGTCTCTAACGCTTTTTACCTTGGTCACCTACCCCCATAGACATTCCCTGGACTTATCTCCATTCTATCTCTGTTCCATCCTAGACAAGTTTTCTCCCTCACCCTCCACCAAAAGCATTTGTTTGAAATTGTTCCCAGTTGCCAAATCCACAGCCAATTCTCGGTTCTCACCTTGTGTGATAGCAGCAACTGACAACAGGGAGGGCGGATCATTCCATAAACGGCTCGCGACTTTATTCATTCTGCCACCCTGTGCCTTTTGATTGATGCAGTCAATTTAGATTTAAGCTAGTTATTGTAGGTGTGTACTTCATTTCCACTTTATTGTTTTCTGGTTTTTAGTTCTTCTGTTCCTTTTTTCCTCTTACACTCTTTTTTGATGGTTTTCTTTAGTGTTATACTTGGATTCCTTTTTTTAAAGTTTTTGTATATCTATTATAGGCTTTAGGTTTGTGGTTAATACATGGTTCATAGTTTTCTAAGTATATAACAGTCTATATTGAACACATTCTTTAAGTACTACTTTATTCTTCTTTCTCCTCCACACCTCATTTTTGTGTGTATCCCTTGACTAATTTTTTGTATAGCTGATTTTACTATTTTTGTTTGTTTAACTTCATACTTGCTTAGTAAGTAATGTTCTATCTACTGAATTTACTGTAGGTTTATTTTCACTGATTAAAATGTATTTGGACTTAAGAACATTTTCATCTACAGAAATCTCTTTAATATATCCTGTAAGGCGGGTTTAGTGGTGGTGAATTCTTTTGAACTTTGTTTATCTGGAAAACTTAATTTCTCCTTCAATTCTGAAGAGTAAACTTGCTGAGTAGAAGATTCTTGGTTGTAGGCTCTTCCCTTTCAATACATTAAATATTTTATGCCACTCCCGTGTGGCCTGTAAACTTTCTGAGAACATTGCTGATAGTCTTACGGGGTTTCCATTGTAGGTAACTGTCTACCTCTCTCTTGCTGCATCTCTTCCCCTTCACCCACTGTCACATCCCTCTCTGACCACAGCTGGCAGAAGTCCTCTGCTAAGGACTCATATAATTAGACTGGACCCACATGAATAATCCAGGATAATCTCCCCATCTCAGGGTTTATAATCGTAACTAATCTGCAAAGTCCCTTTTGCCATGAAAGTAACATATTTACAGGTTCTGGGAATCAGGGAGTAGATATCTTTGGGGGACGTTATTCTGCTCATCACACTCAGAATATGGGATGTTGAGCAATTTGATTTCTGATTGTTGCTCCTGGAAAGCTTAGAGGGAGGGGGGATTGGGAGCAGGCAAAATGTATAAAGCACATTAGCAGGAGAACATTAAATTAGGAGAGCCAAATAAAAATCATGGATTCCTCGGTAAGTGACACATACTAAGAGTCTCTTAAAAATGAACACTTCCTGTTACTGAAATCATTCAAGCAGCGGCTGATAAAGGTAACGGTTTTGAGGGTCCCTTCCAATTAAAGAATGTATGATCTGCGCAAGAAACTATAATAGTAGTTTAAGTCTTGGTCTGCCTACTGGTGTGTGAAAGAAATTAACTGGTTTACCCATGTGGGTAGGATTTCCCACTGGGAAGTTGATAAAGGTACTTCAATGTAGTCATTTTTAAACAGACACTGAGCCCCTGTTATGTGCCGAGAAGTGCCATGTTCTAAGGATATAATGATGAACAGTGATGGGTCTTATCCGTATTGACAAAATAAATGAAAGAGGTATGATACAGGATGGTGCTTATATGTTTCTATATTCCAGATTAATGTGAATCCTATGCTATAGTAATAGAAGAATATAAAATATAAAACCCAATTTTAAAATAGCAGTGTAATATATTAGGAGAGTTTCGAAGATGATGTACAAAATTGCATTCAATCAGGCAGTAATGACACAATAGAGAACAAATTATTTAATTTTATTAAAAATTTCCAGTTTATAACCAAAATATACAACCACTACATTTAAAATCAGTTTGTACACTCACAGTTAAAGTGCTAAGTAAAAACATTTACAAAAACTCACATCAGTCTACTGTAAACAAAATAAATCTACAAGAGCAGAGAGCGAAGCACATCGGCTAACGGGAAAGTACGGTTCATGCTCTGATCAAGGGTACTTGCCCTATACAGATCTCAACAACAGGAACTTTCCACTCACCCGGAAATGAATGAACAATTTCAAACACATGAAAAAGAAACATGAAGAATTAACGCCACAAAAATACAAGTCTTTAGCACAAACACTTTCTACCTAGATGTTTATATGATAGAGCAAGATTAAAATTTTAGAACCAACTTTAGAATCACCTCAGCACTAATTCAGAAAATGGTTTGAAAAACTAAATTGCCAAGTGCCAACTGCTTAAAAATATTTTTAAAATAGTGAAAAGGGAATATCCTCTCTCCCTTTCTATCTTTTGAAAAAATGAAAATGTGGTTGGTGGTCATTATCTATAACAGTAAATGAGGAAAGACTTAATATTTTTTACAAGAATGGATAGTCATCATCTGTAAATTTATTATCGATAAGCAGAGCTGGAAGACAGGACTAGCTGGAAGGTACACTGTGACTGAAACAGAATAGTGTGGGAGATGGATTATCTAGGATGCTCTAGATATAGCCCCTAAACTAGAATACAGGGTCAGCGAGGCCCTGGCTTCAAATGACCCATGAATACAAATGACAAGCTCCCTTCCTCAAGGTCACTGAAAATAAACAGCACTTTCAGACATCAGGGAAAGATGGGGCAGATTTCCAAGTTGGGTCACTTAATGATACCTCTTGCCTCAAAATGATCCTGCTAACACAAATTATTTCTGCCTTTGTTTTAAAGCTTAATATTCTATTAACTGATATTAGTTTGTACTAAAAGCAATGTTTGTTTCTAATGCAGATTTCTCTTTAAGAGAAGTAAAAGGGCTATAGTCACTAACGCTTTAGTATGAATTAGTTAATGCAAATTTCCTTTTCCTAATGCTTGAGATACATTATACTGTGGAAGTACTGAAAAGGAAGACTAGGGAGAGGAGGCAGGTGGGCAGGTCTTCGGGAAGGTAGCATATGAGGGACAGGCCAGAGGGAGAGGGCAGGTACCTGCGCAGGCCTCAGGTATCACCTAGGAAGAAGCGTACCAAGCAGTTACTAAGAAATCCAGTTAAACTTTCTCCACTACAAAAGTTTATTAAAATTGCAACACCTAGATGAACACTGGTGTGAACTAGATTGGCTCTTGTTGGCTAATTTGTTCCCCTCATTAATCATAATAGTATCACTTATATATGAGGAAATACAATCTGAGGTTGAAACAACCCAATTTACAACCTTTCAGATCATAGTTCAACTTAAAATTGGGGATTCCCTTTGTAGGAGCTTCATATTTTTTATATGTTTTTTATACTCAAATATTTTTATTCTTACAACCTGAAACAGGAATACAGAAACTCTTTAAAAGGCATTTTAAGGCAAGTTTGAGGAATATTTAACATAGCAGTATTCATTATTTTAGAATGCTTACAAAGAAGATAAAATTCTATACTAGCAATTTGAGTCCATATCAGTTATAGGGGAGGGGGGTTATTTTGCCTCTAAATGATATTTACAGACTAATTCTTTGATATATGACAATATCCCAGATTATAAAAATTTAGAAACTATATACAGACTTAAAGAAAGGCTTAGGTAACTTATGTATTCCCAAAAGGTATTTGCTTCAAATACTGAAGTCATTTCGATTAAGTATCTTTGAAAACTTGGTGATTTAACAACAAAGTAAAATTTTCTTGCAGATCTGTGGCTATCTGTAGTTTGAGTCTCCTTCATAAAGCCTAATGACAGGTTGATATGAAGAGGTGGGATGGGAAGTCAATATATCTGTTCAACAAAATCTTTTGTTTAGGAGTTCCTGAATATATATTACAAAATCGATAACATTTGATCACTTTTGACCAACAAAACCAGCAATTCTACGTAGTTCCTAACATTATCCAACTATGACCACATAGTATGAATCTCCTTGGCCTGATTCTCAGAAAGAACAATCCATCTACAGGAGAGTGTTCTGCTGAGCTGACTATGATAGCCTAACATATACAACACTGTACAACAGTAAGAAAACAAGACAAAACAAAGGCTCAAAAATGAACCCAAACACCTCACATTAAATAAATGTAAATTTGGGGTATCACACATTATAGTAAGTGAAATAACTAATAACTACTAGTAACTGTAGACATATATTTATATAAATAATCCCCCAAATTTACTATCAGATTAAAATACAAGTCAGATTATCTTAATTAAAAAAATTTTAAATTAGAAGACACAGCTCTTTCAAATAACAAAAATAAGACAACTTAATAGCTTTTGAATGTCAACCAAACTTTCCTTTTTGGGGCTGGAGGAAAAGGATGGTGGTGATTATATCTTTATGATGCCAGGTAAACGTCTAAATTGTGGTAACTCCTTCACATATGCAAACTTTTGAACTTCAAAGAAAGAGTAAAATTCTAAAAAATAAAATTTGGCATTCGAAAATAAAAGCAGAAAAGTTGAAGTGGGTGGGTGCTAAAGATATGTGAAATGGGAAAATTTTAGTGAAATTAAATTTAAAAGAAAGATGAATGAATGATAAAGAATCCAGATTTACTCTTATAATTCCCAGATAAGATAGAAATAGCACCTGATGATGAGGGAACTTCCAGACTATTATTTTCAAATCCAAGAGTTCTTTTATGATTTTAAAAAATAGTTATAAGTTCACATATAAAGAAAAAAATTTTTCAAGTACAACTCCAGCTCAATGTAAAGAACTACTATGTTCATCTTGTTTCAGAAATATAGAATTATTTCATATCAAATGTTTCTGCTGACAAGAGTAGTTCAGGGAAAAATTACCTGAGGCAAGGCTAAGGGAAAAAAGAAGGGCATAAATTTCTTGGTCAAAACTGGGAAGGAGAGAAATAAAGAAATAGAAAAATGGTAGATAGATAAATATAAAATAAATCATTCTAAGATTATGTGCTTTTTTATAGAATATCCCATTATCAAAATCCAGAAAATATTCCATGAAATGTTTGGACCTCAGAATCAAGTTTAGCAAATGTAATAAAACATGCAGAGCCAGAGAACTGGAAATAAAGTTTTGTTTCTGTTTTTGTTTTTGACAGGCAATCAAAATAACATTGTAACATAGGCAGATCTGACTGAGAGAGGCTGAGCATCTAATTAAATTTCTGGAAGCCAAGACGTTGCCTGAACCAAACAAGGAATCAAGGATAGTCAAATAAATCATACCAGAAACCAGTACATCTTCATTACACTTCTGTACACCTCAGACCCCAAACCCGACACCTCAACTGTAAATCTATGGACCAACGTGTTCAAGAATTTGATAGAAGTTATGCAGCCATAGAGCAAAGACAATGATCTTTAAAAGTAACAGAAACCCCCTTGGACTGGTTCTCAGAGAACACAACTAAATAAAAAAACTTTCTGCTGAGAGATGGAACTAATGGAATCTCTACATTTTATAAGATAGATAAGGAGGCCTTATGGAAACCTTCTTCTGCATAGTCAGAAAAAAATTAAAAGTAACAAACCATATTTATCACTAACTATTTTACAGTAGGACATTCAGTTGTCCATGGCAACCTAGAAATTATATTTTTATTCAATGAACCTAATAATACAATTTAAGAATAATTATTGAACAGAATCTCAATCCACTCTTCTGAAATTTCTTTTACATTTTATAATTATTTTAATGTTGGTAAAACCTGGTAACTTTTTAATTAGCACTTTGAGTTCACTCATTTTATCTTGAATACATTTTGTTCAAAGTTTAAGCTAACTAACTATACTAATATTTAAAAGAATAAAGACTATAAAATTTTGTTATAGTTTTTCTGTATATCAGTTTTAAGGGTGCTTAATGTCGGAGCTTTAGGAGACTTTCCCCATGGAAAAGAAAAAAAAGGTCATGTCAAACAGTTGTAACCTTTCTTTCACTTGTATCTGTAATATAATTTTCCTTCTTTAAAACTACTTAAACTATGAATGGGAAAAAAAAGTTAATAACGTATCTGAATCCTACCAATTTGGCTATAAATTGCACTAATAGTACAGGCTGACTGGGAAGAGTAACAGTAAAAGTAAGCCCAGATTAGTGATTATAACATGGTCTAAGGACAAGTTAGAGACAGGTGGGATCTGAGACACAAGCTCTCTAATCCCCTTGTTTCTTTTACTTTAACAGATGAGAAAACCAAGATCCCAAAAGGTAAAAGTCCAGTTACACAGCTCATTGAAAAGAGAGGCAAGACTAGAAATCAGGTCTCCTGACTCAAAATTCTGTGTTATTAAAAAAAAAACAATGCATTTTTACTAAGCTTAAAAATAAAAAATCTGTCAATTTAGAAAAAGAAATTATTAAGCACTAAATTTTTTTCTTTTAAAAGCACAACACAAAGAAATATTTGCAAGTTAGCAATACAAACAAGCTAATAAAACAAAACCTGAGAACTACAATTTTACTAATAAAGTAGTTCACCTTACTTCAAGAAACATGATAAAATAAGAAGTTTGGAAAACATCACTGTCATATAAATGCTGTCACTAGTGAATGGTAATCACCGAAATAATGGAACACTGAAGTTTCAAAATCCAAATTATCACAAGGTAAAAACTTGTTTCTCTCTCAGAGAAAATTGGTGATAGTGGCAAATAAAATGAGAATAAATTATGGGCAATGCTATCATACCAATGAAAATGTTCAAGAAAGGACACAACAGATTTCCTGAAATAACTGAATTTTTTTTTAAATCTGAAGGAAATTACTCTTTAATGCATTTAAATAGATTGAATTACTCTCTCTTATGTAGGAAGTAATGTTGTACTAGCATGGGATTTAACTAAAATCCAAGTGAAATTTTACTTTCCTTCGTATTTATGGTAATAAAACTTACTTCCTAGAGATCACAAAGTAAGAAATGTCCTTATATTAACCTATATTAAATCTTTATAAATCAACCAAATAGGAATGTCTACAAAGAGGCTGAGCTGGCTTTGGGTGGACCTTAACATTTCTTTCCTAGAAGACTTTGGATCCTGACAGAAAATTATAATCCTATATCAATTTGACTATTAAAAAGTATAAGACTAAAATTAAATTAGGAAAAAACCCCAGGAAGCTATTACAGTCAGATGGAAGGTAAAGGATGTTTAGCTTTCCTATTCCTTTCCCTAAACTCAGTAACTGGTACAAAAGAAGGGAAGAGAATTAAATTATGAAGAGACGTCAACAGAATTTTTCATACAAAATAGAAATGATATAAGAATAATGTATAAATAATGCAACCACTAGGAAACATAGCTGAATCAATGTAAACATTTTTTTCTTATTTAAATCAGTTCTAAAAAGGCATAAAAAAAAGGTTAAAACAAGCATGACTTCCTCTGTAAATCTAAGTTCCATAAAAATGCTACCTTTTGTATGTTTATGTGTGGAAAAGAATGGAGAATTCCTTACTTTACGCAGGTTAAAAAATTATATAGACAAACATGTAAATAACCCATGGAAAAGAAAAAAAAGGTCATGTCAAACAGTTGTAACCTTTCTTTCACTTGTATCTGTAATATAATTTTCCTTCTTTAAAACTACTTAAACTATGAATGGGAAAAAAAAGTTAATAACGTATCTGAATCCTACCAATTTGGCTATAAATTGCACTAATAGTACAGGCTGACTGGGAAGAGTAACAGTAAAAGTAAGCCCAGATTAGTGATTATAACATGGTCTAAGGACAAGTTAGAGACAGGTGGGATCTGAGACACAAGCTCTCTAATCCCCTTGTTTCTTTTACTTTAACAGATGAGAAAACCAAGATCCCAAAAGGTAAAAGTCCAGTTACACAGCTCATTGAAAAGAGAGGCAAGACTAGAAATCAGGTCTCCTGACTCAAAATTCTGTGTTATTAAAAAAAAAACAATGCATTTTTACTAAGCTTAAAAATAAAAAATCTGTCAATTTAGAAAAAGAAATTATTAAGCACTAAATTTTTTTCTTTTAAAAGCACAACACAAAGAAATATTTGCAAGTTAGCAATACAAACAAGCTAATAAAACAAAACCTGAGAACTACAATTTTACTAATAAAGTAGTTCACCTTACTTCAAGAAACATGATAAAATAAGAAGTTTGGAAAACATCACTGTCATATAAATGCTGTCACTAGTGAATGGTAATCACCGAAATAATGGAACACTGAAGTTTCAAAATCCAAATTATCACAAGGTAAAAACTTGTTTCTCTCTCAGAGAAAATTGGTGATAGTGGCAAATAAAATGAGAATAAATTATGGGCAATGCTATCATACCAATGAAAATGTTCAAGAAAGGACACAACAGATTTCCTGAAATAACTGAATTTTTTTTTAAATCTGAAGGAAATTACTCTTTAATGCATTTAAATAGATTGAATTACTCTCTCTTATGTAGGAAGTAATGTTGTACTAGCATGGGATTTAACTAAAATCCAAGTGAAATTTTACTTTCCTTCGTATTTATGGTAATAAAACTTACTTCCTAGAGATCACAAAGTAAGAAATGTCCTTATATTAACCTATATTAAATCTTTATAAATCAACCAAATAGGAATGTCTACAAAGAGGCTGAGCTGGCTTTGGGTGGACCTTAACATTTCTTTCCTAGAAGACTTTGGATCCTGACAGAAAATTATAATCCTATATCAATTTGACTATTAAAAAGTATAAGACTAAAATTAAATTAGGAAAAAACCCCAGGAAGCTATTACAGTCAGATGGAAGGTAAAGGATGTTTAGCTTTCCTATTCCTTTCCCTAAACTCAGTAACTGGTACAAAAGAAGGGAAGAGAATTAAATTATGAAGAGACGTCAACAGAATTTTTCATACAAAATAGAAATGATATAAGAATAATGTATAAATAATGCAACCACTAGGAAACATAGCTGAATCAATGTAAACATTTTTTTCTTATTTAAATCAGTTCTAAAAAGGCATAAAAAAAAGGTTAAAACAAGCATGACTTCCTCTGTAAATCTAAGTTCCATAAAAATGCTACCTTTTGTATGTTTATGTGTGGAAAAGAATGGAGAATTCCTTACTTTACGCAGGTTAAAAAATTATATAGACAAACATGTAAATAGTTAAGGTGTTACAATTAAGATTTAAAGTTTTGCCACGATGAAAACCAAGTGTTACAATAATCACCTTTTAAAAACCTGTTCTTAATCAGAAAGAATTAGAATTAGGTACAAGCAAGTCCTAAAGTTAGAGGGCCTACACTTTTTATATTTTTCTTATAAATTTCAGCGAAGTTAATGTATTTATATAATTCCATATCAAAGGGAAAATGTAATGGAGATCCCCAAATTTCTGTTTAAAGTGACCTACAAATTCAACTGTAGAAAATGAGAGCGCATACTCTGGTATAACATCTACTACAGAGCCAACACACTTCAAGGACATAGCTAGTCTTGAAGAAGAACTTCATTTTTAAAAGATTAATTGGATTGTTGATTTAAAGATTGTACCAAATGAATACTGGTCTTATTGCTTATTTTGTTGTTATGTTAAATACCAATGCAGACCATATCCTTGTTTCCTATAACCCTAAAATTCTAAAAAATACCCAAATAAGTTATCAATACAGCAACTTACAGGTTACAGAGAAGTATAATACATGTTATCTATTTGATCCTCACAATGTCCAGTGAGGTAGGTTTGGGGACCAAAAATTACCTTCTCCTCCCTCACTTTACATCAAAGAAATTGAGACTAAGAAAAGTTTAATTTCCTGTGTGGTTCACATCATAATTATGGGTCTTTAAACTTCAAGCCCAGTGGGATTTTCATTACACTAGACTATGTAAGTCATCCAAGTATAATATGTAAATGTACCTTTGGCATGTCAAAAGCAGTATAAATATCATCAGAGCGAAATTTTGGTATATTAATATTTTCTAAGCTCCAGCCAATGATCCACTAAAATTAAAGTAGTTTCTTTTATTTCACAGGGATATAGCCTGATCCAAGATAGTTACAATTTCAGTATTTTCCAGTTATTATCTCAAAGAAACTAATGAGGTAGGTTAAAATGCAGTAAAGTTTTCCACTTTGAAGAGATTCTTAAAATTTTTATAAATCTGCTCTAAGCAGTAGCAGAAAAAGAAATCATTACCAATAAAGGTTTGCTTAAATATTCATTCACCCAACTAGCACAACAAAATCTAACTTCACATAAAACTGACAAGAGCCTAAATACTTCTAATAATTGCTGTTCACCATTTAAAATTAATAAAAACTGTGTAAGTCTGAATATATATCTCCATAATAAAAACAGTAAAATGGACTGTTATCCTTGAGAAATAGCTTCATTTGGTGCAATTTACGTATTTCTTACTAGTTGCCATGTGTTATTCTGTTAAAGCAAAGACTTCATTTCACCTAGTTTAATTAAATTTAGATCTTCCAAATTTCTTTGAAGTGACTCTCTACTAAAGTAAAAGTAAGTTGTATAAGATAGTTATTTATTCATTTAAATATTTACTGAAAAACCTACTATGCAATAAGCCCTGTGCTAGTTGTTGAGTTAGTACCCAATTGTTCTATGAAACTAATTGTTTTGAACTTAGTAGTCTTGAATTTTTTGCTTTAACTACTGAATAAACTAAATTAAATGCAATATTGCTGAAATCAAAGTCCTTTTCGAAAATCTTTTGATTATATATTAACATTTTAGAGAAGACTATTTTGTCAGTTGTCATAAAATACTAAACATTATCATATGCCAATCACAACACAAATTAAACTTTAACATATGGTAAGAAAGCTGTCTAGACTTGCTCAAGTTGGTTTAAGCTAGTTGAGGTCTGAAACTGCTGTCTTGCTATATAGTTCTTCAACTGTCTCTTTAAAAAAAATTGTTAATTTGAAGCACCCTTTTGATAAATAACAGAGCCCAAACGAAATATTGTTATTTAAAATAATGGATCAACAATTTTAAGTAAATTTTGTGGAACAAAATTAAGATACTAAAAATAACTGAAAGGTCAAGATGGCATTTACATATATACTAACAGATAGTTTAATGGAGAAGATGCAAATGAATATGTAAAAATGAGGAAACAAAGTTAAAATTTACATAGTGATGCTCACTTGACTGGCTATATACTTGGCCCACTTGTAGGAGAAAACTAATTAACATTTGGCAATTGATAATATAATGCAGATGGTGATGACGACAACATCTTTGAGCTCAAACTGGTACCTTCTATTTTAACTTGTTATTTTTGTTTCTGAATGTTTGTTTTGGTCCTCTCATGCTGTTCTCAGGAGAGATTCTCAGACAAAAGCCTCATGAATTACTGATTTATTTATAAAAGAGATGCTGTAAGTCTGGCCTTTGGAGAAAAGGTTTACTAATTGCCAGTTACTAAGGAATTCAGATTTTGTCTGTCTTAAGTACTAACTTCAGTTCCAAGAAGAAAGACAATGGAGGAGAAAAAGAAACATTTTCAGTCACATGTTCAAACATATCTTATGAAGAATTAATTGTAAATATTTTATGTACTTCGAGAGACACAACATGACATACCCACAAATTCTCAGGAAACAGCCTTCTGTGCCTGATGAAAGCTTCTTATACAACATCTAATTTCTTGGTGCTTTTTGTTTTAAAGGAGGGAAAAGTATACATGAATTAAACATGTCAAGGAATGTACTATATTAGCCCTCAAATTTCTTAAATCCTCAATAAAGTTAATCTCTTATATTTCATAATGTCTTAGTTTTCAAAGAGCTTGCATATGACTATTCATTTGATCCCTATTTGACTTTGTGAGGTAGGTATTTATCTTCTATCTTCATTTCAATAAACAAGGGAATTGAGGCTCAAAGAAGTTGATTTGTTAAAGGTTAAAAACTATCATACGGCAAAGCCAGGCCTCTCTAGATTTGGAATATTTTTCAAACTGTGATTCTTGGATTACCTGCTTTCGTAAGAATGACTTGTAGTATTTTTATAACTATAGATTTTAAAGCCCCGCCACCTTTGACTTGTTGAATAAGAATCTTTGGGAGTGGGGCCCAGAATTCCATTTTATAATAGACAAGTAAGTGGAGAAAAACTGGGTATCAGGTAATGGTAGATAAACATAACACTGAGTCCAGCTAGATTTTCACATGATGTGATATGATGCCATCAGATCATCACAAGGACAAGTTGGTTTAAAACAGCCTGCAGAATGGCTGATTAGAATCACCTGGAAAGTTTTTTAAACTACCAATTCTCATTTGAATGACAGGATTGCTGGGCATCAGAGGTTCCCCAAGTGATTCTTATATGTAGTCAGGGTCAAGGACCGCTTGTTTTAAATATGCTTTTCTATATAACACATCCAGGATTTCCTAAAATTTTTCCTTCTTTTCTGATCAGTTTCATGCCTAATAAAGTTTACAGTTTTTACTGTAAATTGTTTAAACTTTTTATAAGACAAACTGTCAAACATTTTTGAGCTGATATTTTTAAGATTAAGAGATACTTCACAGCAAGACTAATCATGCTTCATTTAGCTACAACGATTTTCAAATACCCCCAAATTAATCACCACTTTGGATATAGGTTATATATATTTCAGCTATAAAAAAGAATGATCCAGAATCTGAAAGTAAGAGTGAGGGGCAAAAGCTGTAGCCTACTGGCTACTAGGCAATGCAAGTATAGACAATCAAATCACTGATAGGAGGGGCCTGGATACCAAGATCTGGTAGCTTTGGCAAGATCACTTCTCACTGTAGAAAAATACAACAATGAATAAAGAGGAAACATTTTGTCATTTTGTAACTGTGGTTTACCACAAAAAAAGCAATGTATGATGCTTATCTTATTACATGCATCCACAGAACAGATCTGAACATGAATTTCTCTACAATCAATACTACTACATGGAAAAAGATGGCTATAAATTAAACACTTTCTATCATGCATATGGATAAGTTATAGAAACACAGCCAGTAAAAGTAATATTTACAAACGTAATAATATAAACAGCAAAATTATAGGGAAAAAAGTGTCCATCTCCAATTTTATTCCATTGCTAATCCTAATCCTGTATCTCTCTTGATGAAGATTATTTTGATAGAATTTTAAGAGCCTTCAATAGACTAGTCAGAGTCATCTGTTAATCTTTATATTCTATTAGCTAAAATACCCTTGCTGATTTATCAAATTCTCCTACAGTTTAAAAACACAGTTCTTTTTCACTTAGTGAAAAGAAAATTACAAATTCCTACTATTCACCTGACAAATAAACTTTGCATAGAAAATATCTTTAAATCTGAAATTTTGTTTTATTAACAGAACTACGAGAATGTTATCTCACGACTAGATGATATTATATGAAAGTTCACTACAAAGCAGTCTCATATGTTTAGGATTTTACTAAATATAAAATAAGTGAGTTTATAAAAATGCTTACCAGACAAATAATTATCTCTTCATACACTAGAAATAAGTATTATTTATACGATGATCTAATTCTTAGCATTTTGGATGCCTTGATGTTCCAAGTTTGATGCAATATAAAAAGCAAAAATTTGCTTTTCCAAAGGACACAATCTGCACCTCACTGGAAGCATGGTAACAGAGAGTTGCAGCCATGCCAAGACAAGTAAAATCAGCACAGGTTTTCCACCTTAGGATGACTTAAGCACTGGTTCCATCTTCTTCAATAACTCGATTCATGCTGGTACCATGTGTGATGTGAGTCATAGGATTATTACTGAGATCTCTGATGCTGCTATGTCGTGACTGCTCGTTGAGCCGATGAGAACTGCTGTGTCTGGAGTGATCCGTCAGTCGTGACATGCTGCCATGAGGTAGTCTCTCTTCCATTCCTCTGTAACTGCAGGGAGTGTACCTAACGTAGGAGAGTTATTCTGAAGCAGCTAACAGAACACACTAGAAAATAACACTAAAAATTTTCATGAAAATGCCTCATTAAGTAAAATAATCAGGAAACCAAGCAAAAAAATAACAACCAATTTTGATGATTTACAGTGATTTCATTAACCACAGAATTAATTACAGAATTATTCACATGGCTAACCAAAGGGGAGAAAATCTCATTAGGTACAAAATTAAGGTTCTATTCCTTGCAAAAGAACAGAGCTAAGGTTAAGTATTGCCGACTGATAACAGATACTCTTTCATTCATCTGAGTTTTGGGTTATAGGGTGGGTTCAGGGAGAACATTAGAAACAACATGGCACTGTTCCAGGGAGCCCAGAAGACTGGTTATAATCAGTAGCACAACAAACTCAAATTTTACTAAAAGACCAGGTTTGGAAGAGGGAGCATATGAAATTAGGGGAGAAATTAGTGTAACCAAAAAAAAAGTGAGTGAATTGGCAAGCAATGACGACAGTATGTGCAGAAAGCTTCTTTCCAGATGGCCCAGTTAACAGCCAAATTAACTACCTGTAAATGGTCTTAATTACTTTTCATTAGGGCTTGAGGCTGAGAAGATGCTATTTCATAGAAGCTACTTAAATATACTAGTAACAACCTCCTAATACTTTTTACCTATATTCCTGCTAAAGCAAATTCTCTCTGTACCCTTGGCCCAAGACCCAGCATTTTGAGTTCAATGTATGTCAAATGAGCTATATTGTTTATTGCAGGTAGTCTTCTTTTCCATTACTGTACATATCTTGAAAGGCAGCAGAGGGGAAGCTGTTAAATTTTCTCTTGTTGCTGTCCTAACTCACAAAGCCCCCATCAGAGGTGAAAAAGCACCCACTCATAATATAACTTTTTGTGAAAAGGATTTAATTTAGGACTATAAAGCTCAAAGAACACTTACTGACTATAATTTGTAACTTTAACATATTAAATTTTAAGTAATATTTCTGAAAATAAGGATATAGCAGGGCATTCCTTTTTTAATATTAATTGAAAGAACTAATCATAAGCATCTAAAGACTTACTGGCTGCCAAAAATCACTTATTATTATTTAATAACAAATTTCACAACTAAATATGAATCATTTATAAAATTTAAAGATTTTAAAGACTGACCCCCTCACTACTGAGGTTATCTAGTTTTATAGCATTGCTTTTCAAATGTTTTCATTAGATCACAGAGTTTAAAAATTGAGAAGTCCTTTTAATATTATGTTTAAAAGCATGTCTTTTGTTTCTAGTCTGAATAAAGCAAAAATTGGAAATTAAAGAATGAAAAGTACATGTTAAATATTTAAAAAATTTCTCATGCTAATAGGTAAAAAAGTATTTAAGTCTTATTAAAAAACATTTCACATTCAGGACATAAGCAGTTTTAAATTTATCTTGAATGTTTTGGTAAAATAAGTATCATATTAGCAAATGAAAACATTTCAGAATGAGCTTGTTATTATTCTATGTAATAATTATTATTTTGCATAATGATTATTGCCCTAAACTGAGTGAAAAAATTTTGCAAATATAGTTTGCCAGCTAATTTGGAGATCTGTCACCTCACAATGACTTTGTAAGTACAGTTAACCCTTGAATAACCTGTGTTTGAACTTGTACAGTAAGTTCCACTAAATAAGTGGAATAAGTAGGTCCACTTGTACATGGGTTTTTTCAATAAATATACTGGAAAATTTTTTGGAGATTTGTGACAATTTGAAGAAACATTTCCTTTTCTCTAACTACTTTATTGCAAGATTACAGTACTTAATGTATGTAACACAAAATGTGTTACTAATCAAAATTTTTAAACTTATTACTTTTATTACAATTATAATAAAAATTATTACACATAAACACAAAATACATGTTAATAACCATCAACTGTTTATGTTATCAGTAAGGCTTCTGGTTAACAATAGGCTATTAGTAGTTACGTTTTTGGAGAGTCAAAGCTATCTGTAGATTTTTGACTGCACAGGGGTTGCTTCAGAGTCAACTGTACTACATTTCAAATACAGCAAATGAAAAAAATGCAAAATATGATCCCATGTTCTAGGAATGATATCAAAGTAATAAAAAAATTGAAATAGATCACTATTGAAAAATATGAACTGAGTATTTTCTAAAATGAAACCTAGATCTTTGAGTTTAATAATCAAGACTAAAAGAGTAAATTTTTCATAGAAAAACAATTACTATATTGACTTCGTATGTCTAATTATTTAAGTGAAATGTATGGCTATTCACAAAATTTTGGGATGTCAAAAATTTGCCCACAGTATTATGCTCAGTGAAATAAGCCAGGCGGAGAAAGACAAGTACCAAATGATTTCACTCATATGTGGAGTATAAGAACAAAGGAAAACTGAAGGAACAAAACAGCAGCAGAATCACAGAACCCAAGAATGGACTAATAGTTACCAAAGGGAAAGGGATGGGGACGATGGGTGGGAAGGGAGGGATAAGGGCGGAGAAAAATAAAGAGGGCCTTACGATTAGCATGTATAGTGCGTGGGGAGCACGGGGAGGGCTGTGCAACACAGAGAAGACAAGTAGTGAGTTTACAGCATCTTACTACGCAGATGGACAGTGACTGTGAAGGGGTATGTGGGGGGGACTTAGTGAAGGGGGTAACCTAGTAAACATAATGTTCTTTCTGCAATTGTAGATTAATGATACAAAAAAAAAAATCTGCCCAGATAATTAGGAATCAAATATACAGAAAAATTAATTTAATTATAAAGTGTTTAGTCTCAGTTGCATATATAGGAATTACCAAATTTATTTACCTTTTGACAGTTACTTAAGCCACTGTGACCATCTATTCTAATACATAACATGTAAAGGTACATTAATCTTAATGTAAACTTTAGGCAAAATAATTAGGATGGTTAATGTGCAGAAAAGATAGTATGGTGCATTCCAAAGTCAAAAAGAAAGAAATTTGAAGATTATGTACTCAGATTCTCTTTTTGCTACCACTAACACAACTGAATTCATTTTGGTTTAACTCATATCTCACTTTATTCATTGCCTAGCTTTCCCTGGTTATGTCACCTACTTATCAACCTGAGTACTCATTTCGAAGTCTCCACCCTACTTATCCACTTCCTTTTCTATCCATGCTCTCATCTAACCACCAGTTACCTACTCTCTGAAGTTGACATACATGTGTAGGTACATTCATCTAAGTCTATTTATTTTACATAGCACTGAAATCAATAATTATCCATCAAGGATTCCAGAGAAGACTGAGTTTTGCTAAGCAGATGCACGTGTGTGTGATCTCACAGCCAAGATATCAATGAGCTGATAAGAAATCAGTGACCAAAAGATAGTGTTAACATGTAAACTTAAAAACTGATTGATGGGATGCTCACTCTCCCCACTTTTATTCAACATAGTACTGGAGGTCCTAGTTATGGCAATCAGACAACACAAAGAAATAAAAGGCATCCTAATTGGTAAGGAAGAAGTTAAACTGTTTGCAGATGACATGATATTGTACATAAAAAGCCCTAAAGAATCTACTCCAAAACTACTAGAACTGTAACTGAATTCAGCAAAGTTGCAGGATACAAAATCAATACACAGACATCTGTTCCATTACTATATACTAATGATGAACTAGCAGAAAGAGAAATCAGGAAAACAATTCCATTTACAATTGCATCAAAAAGAATAAAATACCTAGGAATAAACCTAACCAAGGAGGCAAAAGACCCATACCCTGAAAACTACAAGACACTCAGGAGAGAAATTAAAGAAGACACCAATAAATGGAAATACATCCCAGGCTAACGGATAGGAAGAATTAATGTTGTCAAAATGGCTATTCTGCCTAAAGCATCTACAGATTTAATGTAATCCTTATCAAAATACTGACAGCATTCTTCAACAAACTAGAGAAAATAGTTCTAAAATTCACAAAAGACCCCAAACAGCCAAAGCAATCCTGAGAAGGAAGAATAAAGCGGGGGGGATTACACTCTCTGACTTCAAGCTGTACTAAAAAGCCACAGTAATCAAGACAATTTGATACTGGCACAAGAACAGACCCATAGATCAATGGAATAGAATACAGAGTCCAGATATAAATTCATAAATATCTGGCCAATCAATATAAGATAAAGGAGCCATGGATATACAACAGGGAAATAGCCTCTCCAACAACTGGTGTTGGCAGAACTGGACAACCACATGTAAGATAATGAAACTGGATTGCTAACTCCATAAACAAATGTAAACTCGAAATGGATAAAAGACCTGACTGTAAGTCATGAAACCATAAAACTCTAAGAAGAAAACACAGGCAAAAATCTCTTGAACATAAACATGAGAAACTTTTTCCTGAATACATCTCCTTGGTCAAGGGAAACAAAATAAAAAATGAACAAATGGAACTACATCAAGCTAAAAAGCTTCTGTACAGCAAAAGACACCATCAGCAGAACAAAAAGGCAGCCTACAGTACAGGAGACTATATTCATAAAAGACATATCTGATAAGGGGTTAATATCCAAAATATATAAAGAGCTCACATGCCTAAACACCCAAAAAACAAATAACCCGATTAAAAAATGGTCGGGAGATCTGAACAGACACTTCTACAAAGAAGAAATTCAGATGGCCAACGGGCACATGAAAAGATGCTCCACATCGCTAATCGAGCTATCACCTCACACCAGTTAGGATGGCACCATTCAAAAGACAAGGAACAACAAATGGCTAGGATGCAGAGAAAGGGGAACCCTCCTATGCTGTTGGTGGGAATGTAAATTAGTTCAACCATTGTGGAAAGCAATAAGGAGGTTCCTCAAAAAACTAAAAATAGAAATACCATTTGACCCAGGAATTCCATTCCTAGGAATTTACCCAATGAAAACAAGATCCCTGATTCAAAAAGACATATACACCCCTATGTTTATCGCAGCACTATTTACAATAGCCAAGACATAGAAGCCAGCTAAGAGTCCATCAGTAGATGAATGGATAAAGAAGATGTGGTACATAAACACAATAGAGCATTATTCAGCCATAAGAAGAAAAGAAATCCTACCATTTGCAACAACATGGATGGAGCTAGAGGGTATTATGCTCAGTGAAATAAGCCAGGTAGAGAAAGACAAGTACCAAATGATTTCACTCATTTGTGGAGTATAAGAACAAAGCCAAAACTGAAGGAACAGAACAGCAGCAGACTCACAAACTCCAAGTAGGGACTGGCGGTTACCAAAGAGAAAGGGGCTGTGGAGGGCAGGGAGAAGAGGATTAAGGGGTATTATGATTAGCACACATAATGTAGGGGGGTCATGGAGAAGGCAGTATAGCACAGAGAAGACAAGGAGTGACACTATAGCATCTTACTATGCTCATGGACAGTGACCGTAATGGGGTATGTCAGGGGGACTTGATAATATGGGTGAATGTAGTAACCACATGTTGCTCATGTAAAACCTTCATAAGATTGTACATTAATGATACCTTAATAATAATATAAAAAAGACCTGATTGATGCAGAAAGAAATCTCCATGAGATCACTTGCAGAATTATGAAAATCCTGTTTATATACTTTTAGGTTCAACATGGTTTTGGAATCTTTCAAGCCTGTTCTGTAGTTCTGAATATGGCAGAGGGTCTTATAGTATGAACATTCATCTGCCACATACAGAACACCCTTAGTAGTCTACCATTATAGTTCTGGGCCCTGTATTCTGGGAAATGATCCCATTATTTCTAATCATCACCTGATAGATTATATATATACACCTACACTTAGCACTGTGATAGAAACTGTGGGGGAACACAGAGACGTCTGTCATCTAGTTCTTTCTCCAGAAGCTGCAAACCTAGCTGAGGAAAGACAACTGTACTGAAAAGAGTTCACACCAAAAGCATGATTGAAAAGCAATTAACTAACTGCCATGGATGTGGGAATTAAGCAGGTATTAAAGGATGGCTATGATTTTGATTAAGCAGGGAGGTAGGAAAGGCCATTATAAGAAATAATCATCTCTGGTTTCCATGAGGATGATTTTCCCATTATAGATTCCCTCACTGCCTATATGCACTTTCTCTGAATCACATGCTGGCTATTCCTCCTATAAGATTATTACTATAGGTATTTACCAAGGTCTTGTTCTTGGTCTGTTATTTTTTTTAAATTGCATTTTAAGGGATTTTATCTCACAATTTTAATTACCAACTACCTTTACTAATGATCATAAATTTTCTTATGAGCTCCAGTTCCATTCGGATTACAGACTGAAATTCCCTATATTTAACTGTTTTCACAAATTCTCTACTAAATAAGAACTTGTCTTTTATTACCATTCATTCATCCTACTTATCTCCTCTAAGATATTTTCACAGGCCAAACTTTTCTGAAGTTCTATAACAACAACAATCATCTTTAACACTCACTGTTAGAATTATATGCTAGCCTGTACTATTATTTAATTGGTTCCTATGTGTGTGTCCTAACTTTCCTCCAAGGTTGTATGCTCCTAGAATGCAGAAAATATACTTTACCTTTCTTCTATGTTCTCTCTCGATATACAGAATACCACATGCACAGGAGCTGTACTATAAATTAATTGTTCACTCCTTACTGAAAAGGATGAGGCTAATAATGTGAAATGTCAAATTAATGCTGAGAATTAGTTCATAGTAGGTGTTGTTGACAAAAAACATCCTATCAGGTTCTCTGATTCTCTCCCTCCTTATGAGTTTCTTAAATTAGGACCACTCACTTGTAGAAACTTCCCAACTGGGCTTACGTATAACCTCCTCCCCTACACTGGTGTCCAAGTGATCTTTCTAAAATATAAATCTGATTTTATCACCCTAATGCTCAATGTTCTTTAACAGTTTCTCAAACAAGTCAGGGAAAATATCCAAACTCCTCAGCATGTTCCACTCACTACAGTTGCCCCGGTGCACATGCTGTGCTCTGGCCATACGCTGTGCCTCGCTGCCTCTCTGTCCTTGCCTCTGCATATACCATTTCCTTGTCTTTAATTTCCAACTGCCTCCTGTAAATTCTATTCAAATTAGAAGTGCTATCTTGTTTGTGAAGTCCTTTCCATGATGAGTTAGATGGTTTTCTTCTCTGGGATTCCAAAGCACCTTGTATATGATTTTATTATACCCATTAAAATGTATTATGACTGGTTGTTTACTCTTCTGGTTTCCATCTCTGTGGCACCAGCACTTAAAAGAATGCTTCTCACATAAAAGGGATGAATGGAAGGAAAAAAGTAGGCAAAAGCAGGGATCTTTGAGTGTAGTTAAATAACAGATCTTTGAGTGTAGTTAAAAAAATGGTAGAAGGTACAGTTTAGGTAGGTAAGGAGGAGAAAAGGACTAGATATACAAGGAATTAAGGACTGAATAGGTAGAAGGTAATATGCAAAATGTTCATTTAAAACACCTGGCAAGGAAAGGAAAAATAAATGTATAAATGAAAGTATATCATAGTCAAAGAAAGATTGCTGCTGTTTAAGACACACAGTAATGGACCAAGTTAGAAGGCAAAACAAAGCAAGCTGAGAGGAAAAAACAGAAGGTCTAAAAAAAGCATAAGTATAGGAATCATATTCTACACTAGGAGGACAGAGAAGACTGAGAGAAAAGGCTGGAATGAGATCAGAAAGATACAAAATAGTTGTAGAAAGAGATGTTTTGAAGTGAATATAGAATGCTTTCCATTTGAGACATTAGAATTTCCATTCTTTCAGTTTACCAAATTAGAACTTTTAAAACACACACACACATATCTTTGGCAAATTCCTTTACTCTAGCTGCTATTAATCTGTCATCAATTCATCACTTCTTCTTTTAAAATATCTTTTAGATCAGCTCGTCCACTCTTTTCACAGCCACTACTCCCCTATATAAACCTTCATCATCTCTCAAATGAATTACTGCAGAGCTCCTAAGAAGTTTTTAATTCTTGGGTTTCCACCATCAAACTTAACAAGAAAACACATCCAGCCTTCTCCCCAACATTCTCTGTGAAGCTTTCTCTGACTCCACCCCTGCCAGAATTAATCACTCCTTCCTCCATCCTACTATTACTGCACTTACCAAACAGGAGCCAGGAAACTATGGCCCATTAGCCAGATCTGGCCCCTTCCTATTTTTGTAAATAAAGTTTTATTGGAAGCAGCCATTCCCATTTTGACTACATATTGTCTATGGCTGTTTTCATGCTACAAGAGCAGAAACGAAGAGTTGCAACAAAGACCACATGATCCACAAAGCCTAAAATATTTACTATGTGACTCTTTATAGAGAAAGTTTGCCGATCTCTGGACTTACATTGTACTTTAATTGTTCACATACAGTAATAATAGAAGTTAATATCGGGTACTTACTGAGATTGGCACTGATCCACACAATTAGATATATTACCTGATTTATTTTCTACAACATTCCTAAAGGGGCATATACTATTACTATTTACATTTTACAGATGGGGAAATGGAGGCTTACCATTCCAGACCCCTGCTTTTAACTAAAACACTAATATTGATTACACTACCTTTCTTGAGCTTATTAAGAACAAAGATCTTAGCTACATCATCTTTGTATTCCCAGAGGTTAGCACAGCACCTGCAATAGTAGGTATTCCATAACTGTTTGCTAAATTAATCTTACTAAAATAATCACTTTCACCCTGCCTTCTCCCCTCTCAATACCCTTTGATGACTTCACATTGCTTACTGCATCAAGTCTAATCTCTTCTGACCAGCTTTAAGTATGACCATAACTGGAACAACTACACCTACCAAAGTTCAGAAAGCTTAGTAATAGTCAATATTTCAGAACTGGCTACTCTTCCCTCTTAAGCTGTGTAACATATGAAATAAAGTAAGCTACCAATAAAACTCACCTGCCATCACGGGATCTGTGGAGGCTGCCATGGTAGCTGCTCACTTTGCTGTGGACACTCCCTGCTTTGCTTCTCTGATCATCCACCATAGCCAGCTGAGTTGAGGAAGCATGTGTAGATGTTCCTTGAGTGGAAGTTCCTCTTGATTTCCTTATAATAGGAGTATTTGGATCCCTTAGGAGGGACTGAGCAAAATCTGGTTCCTGGAGTACCTGTCGGCTCTCATTCACTATTCTAAACAACAAAATACAAAGTTTAATATACAGACTAACATCTCTATAGACCAATAAACAATACTCTTGTGACACACTCATGTTATTCTTAAATTAATTGGTCTCCAAATAATGTCTTTAGGACAGATATAGTGTAACTTTGTTGACAGAGAAAAGAATACAGCAAAAATCCATGTCAATTTGTCCCCTAAAGTGGTATGATGGACAGAGGCCTGCACTGGCATAAGGAAATCAGGATTTTAGTTCCAATTTTATCAATAAATAAGTTATCTTAGGCAAGTTACTTTCCTCTTTCCTTTATTTTCCTCATCTATAAAATGGAGGAATACAATTTCATCATTTCCAAAAAGTCCTTTTCAGCTAAAAAAATGTTATGATTCTTAAGGACAGTGAAATATTACAAAAATATGACTATAAAGTACAGAAATTGTTTTGCATAGTTTATGGAAGTAGTGGAAGCCTCATCATAGCAGATACTTTTTTTACTTGTAAAAGCAGTTATTTTAAGGCTACAAGATGATTTTATGGCAGAAACAGTTATCTAGTGCTGGAATAAACATCAGTGGTCATAATTAGAACAAAATATATGAAAAATTAATTTAAACAAACATACAATTAAGTCCTAGACATATTAAAGGCTTAAGGGAAACAATTTAAGGGGATAAATTATTGTCAAGAACAAGCTTTTAACCATTATTAAAGGGTTAAAGCAAATAGATGTTTATGATGATGAACAAAGTAATCAAATTAATAAAAGAGAAAAACAGTTGCAAAGATCAGTGTCTTAGTTTATCTAAATAAGTGAGAATCAAAGTTAAAATTAGATAAATTTCATTAAAAAATAAAACTTCAATATGTAGACTGGATCACACAATAAAGAAGTGCAAATATTCTGTCTTCAAATTACAAAAGGTTTGTTATTGCTGTTGTTTTTAGTACTGCAATAGAAAGGCTGAAGGAAGAGTATTATTAGTTGAGTATCTGTATTATGCCAAGTATTTTACATAGCTTTTCCTTTGATCCTTCTTAATGATGTTTTTATTACAGAGATTAATGTCCTAGGAGGGTATTTCTAAGAGGTTATCAGATATCTGTTAAAGAATAAATACTATGATCCCAATGTATAGATGAAGTAACTGAGGTTCTAAACGAACTTTGCAAGTCATACACTAAATCCAATAGTCAGTGATCAGACTTAAGTTTAAATTGTTTTGAAGCCAATCTTAAAGTAATGATAAAACATAAAGTTTATGCATATCCTGAAAACAAAGTGTCAAAAACTAGAAAGAACAAGTCACAAATAGTTAAAAGACAATATTTGTTCCTCTGTCACCCATGGCCCTATTCATATATAAACACACATTCCAAGTCAGTCTTGATTGCTGACTTTATTTTCTAAACTTTTTTTATAGTTAGTTCAAACTGGCTCTGGTCATTCCAAAAATTGAATATACCTTCAAATGGTAAAGGTTTGTTCCCTCGTTTTATAGGTAAGAAAACAGAGGTCCAGAGAAGTTAAATGATGTAACTCAGATAATTCCAGAAGATTTCTAAAAATATTTCAGTCAGTGTCAGATCAGCATAAGCACAGTCTTAAGTGTGGCCTCACTCAGAGTGAGAACACTAATTTGACTGCCACAATTTTAGAAGCCAGTCTCTTTACAGCACTTTAAACAGAGGGGTTAAGAGCAACGGCTAGAGTCTAGAGTCAGACTGCCTGGGTTTGTATCCCAATTCCAGCATCCACTAGCTATGAAACCTTGGTGCCTCAGTATCTTTATTGTAAAAGAATGATCTCCCTGACAAGCCTTAGAAGATTAAATGATTGAGTAATATATAAAGTACTTGGAGTAACAGTGCTCAATTAAATTGGTAACTATTATTATGGTTTTAGTTATTTCTCAAAGTCTAAACCAGACAAATGTTATAGACAGCTATAAGATGCTCACACTCTCAAGTTCCAGGATAAGGAGCTGCCTCTCCAGTCCAGGGCACAATCCTGGCTTGGAGGATCACAATGACTTTGTTGGGTGGAGATCCAAGGTTGCAAAAAACCAAACCAAAGGGGCCTTGGAAGTTCTAACCAGTTTCAAAAGGATTCTGGCCCAAACATGATCACTGTAATAACTAGGATGATTCCCCTTAAGGGTAGCTTGGGTTTAGCTCTATCTAGAATTTCGAATACAACCCTATTAACAGAATTATATGTATGGTCCAGAGGCAACCAGGAATGTTTAATTAACCTGTGATTAAAATATATTTAAAATTTTCAAAGAATACACAGACAAATCACAGTAAGTCTCCCAAGGAGAAGCACCCTGAAAGGAAGGAAGCACCCTGAAAACAGGGAGTTGGCCTCTTTCATTTGCTATTGCATCCTGGTGTCCCAAAACAGTTCTCGGCACATGGTAAGCATTCAATAAAGACTTCGTTACAGAATGGATGCCTGGGAAGTACTTTTGTTGTTCAATAAATCTTTCCCCTCTTCCTTTCTCTGCCCTATGAAACTGTATTTAAAGGAGAAATGCATTATCTGATATCACCAATAGCAGTATCAGATATGATAATAAACAAATTTTTAAATAATGGTTTTGTGATTATTGTGATTTTGCAATTGTTATGTGATTATTTTATCTCAATGTAATCTGTGTAGTGGAAACTGTTTAACTACTGGTATTTTAGAAAATACCAGTTGTGTTAACAAGGTACTTTAAACTGTATAAAATACATTAACCTATACAAAGCACAAAATTTTAAGTATAATCTTAAGTTTTACAGAGTATTCCCTAAAACCCATTTCCCATGGACCTTAGGGTAAGTAAAAATCATAAGAATATGAACTCTACCAATTCAGAATTTTTAATAATTCAAATACAGTATACATGTTTTATACTGAATAAAAGGTTTGAAATGATTTGTTCCTTTGTGAATATCGCAGGGTCTTATTTTATTTTATTAACTAAGAGTTCAAAAAAATTAAAGATTCCTTAAATATATGTCCTCAAAAGATTGGTTTGGCAAGTCTTATATATTTTTTTATGACACTCTAATATGCAGTGTGGCCAACTCCTAATTAAAATACTTTAACATATTTCATTGTATTTACTAATACTATTTTCCTATTTTGGCTTTAACACATACCACATGAGATTGGAATGATATGCTATCTCTTTAAATCATTTATGGTAATACTTAGAAGAACAATGGTTAATTAGAATAGGAAGTCTAATCTAGTACCTATGTAATTTTGGACAAGTCACTTAGTGTCTCTGTGTCTCAGTTTTCTCATCTATAACGCAGAGATCATAAAACTTACCAGCCCTTACAGGAATATCAAGAGGAACAAATAAAAATATATGTAAAAGCATTAATTTATTTTTAATTTTAAGAAAATTATAATTTGGATTTTTAAAAATAAAGATTGGCCCTCTCCCAAATATTCTGAATTATTAGGGAATGGACCTTAAGGCTGGTTCTACTTGACTATCTTCTCAGAATAATTTTTTTGCTTTTTGTTGTGACATGCTACTATGCCGACCATAACTGGTGGCAGCTGAAGTTACAATCTTGTTGGAATATGTCCTTCAAATCCAAGTTGTTTTAACATAAGCAACACAAAATATTTATGTGAATGTGAGGTTTGTGAACATAGTGATAATTTATTTCAACTTACTCTTTTTTCCTACGACCATGAAAGAAACTGGCCCATTCAAAGCATGTCTTTTTGCTTCCAACCCAAAAAATGGAGGGAATACCAACTATGAGGGCCATTAGGTATTTCATCAGAAAGAGAATCAGGTCTGGACGACTCATTTGAGTAACCTATAAGAGGGAAAGAAAAATGTCTTAATATGTAAAAAGAACTTTCTTTTAAAGGCTATTATAAAATCTTTTTTAAAAAAAGAACAAAAGTAAAACAATTCTACAAATTTGATGTCTTCACTTCTATAGTTCTATAGTTAATTTTCTTGGTATATGGAAAAGACACACTCCTGAAAATTTGACACTAAGTTCATTTTCTATAGTCTGAGTCCTATATTTTTCTTAATAGTTCACACTGGTTATCTTCTAAGAAGAAAAATTATTAATGTAGAAATAAACCATGAATAGGAAGAGACTTAGAAGTCATCTAGTCTTACTCTTTACTTAGCAAATTAATTTGTTTTCGATTTAGTTGTTTTAGCAGTATAATTAGTACAGCACAGCACTTCCTCTTAGACATTCAAACCGCTAGCTGTTCTGCTCATTTGTCCTGGTTTTGTTCTCTGGGACGACAAGGAAGCTACTAATGCAGAAGTCAACCCAATAAGATACCCTGCCAGACCCAAAACTTAAAAACTGTGGAAGTACTGGGAACAAAGAACAGAAAGACCAGAAAATCCAACAGAATCAGCTAGAAAACCAATAGAAACAACCAAAGTGTCCAACTATGTTGGACAAGATTAATAGATAAAAATTGAATAATTTTTATGTAGCATAATTAACTAGATAAGAAAGATAGTGAAAACATTTATAATATCAACACAAACTATTTAGGAATAAATCTAACAAGAAATAAAAAGGGAAGGATAAAATTTTATCAAAGGAGAGAAAAACTGAAGTAAATGGAGATATATTCCATGTTTCTATATCCAAAGACATCAATTCAATTAGCCTCCAAATTAATCCTATAAACTTGAGATGATCTGAAAAGATCAATAGGACTTTTTCAGGAGTGTGAAGTATATGATAAAAGTCTTTCAAATAGATGGGAAAAGATAGTTTGTTTAATAAATGATACTGGGATGGTTAGTAATCTACCTGGAAATAAAATAATTTAGATGCCACTTCACACAATAAAGAAAAGTAAATTCTAGACAGATAAAAATAAATCATGAAAGTATGAAAAGAATGAAGAACATTTTTGTATTGGGGGAGGGATACAGGAGGCCTTTTAAAAAGAGTAATATGAAACAAAGAAGTCATAAAAGGAAAAGACTGACAGTCTAATTACTAAAAACTTAAAACTTCTATAGACCAATAACTAGAAATATTAACTGTATTATCTATCAATAATGCAAAACTAAGGCAAACAAAATGAAGGAATTAGTAAAGGTAAAAAACTATTAACACAAAAAAGAAAAAACCCAGAAGTTGTTTATTTGAAAAAAAAATAATAACCATTCTCTAGCCTGATCAAAACAAAGAAAACAGCAAATACACATGCACACATGTACATACACACAGACACATATACATGTGCACACATATAAATGAGTAAACAGCTACAAAGAGAGGATAACTAAAATCATCACACGAGATTATTTTGCTCAATTTGAAAATTAATGGACACAAATGACAGGAAAGTATAAAGAAAACTGACTCCAGAAGCATAAAACTGTATCTCACATGAGACTCTATAAAACAGTAAAACAATGTATGTCTCACTTACAAATTTTTATGCAAACAGAATCCAACAGTAAATTAAAAGAAAATACCACGACCAAATATAGAATTGCAAAGATGGTTCAATATTAGGAAACTGATTTATAAATTCAACCTATTATTAGATCAAAGGGAAAATATATATAATCATTTTCATGTACACCAGACATTTGATAAATTAAATATCCATTGTTAGTTTTTAGAAATTATAATAAAATATAAATAGATGATGAATAAGTCCTTAAAGTTATAAAATAATTCCATCTCAATCCAAAAGCCAGTTACCATGCTTAACGGGAACAGCAGAAGCCACTAAAAATTCTCATTAAAGTCAAGAACTAGAATTGTATCTACGACCACTACTCTTGATTAACCTGTTTCAACAGTTCTAACAGACTGCTGTTAGACCAAAGAAATAAATTAAGGGTATGAAATCTATAAAGGAGGTAAAAATTGTTATCATTTATAAAAAATTTTATACCTGGAAAAACTAAGGGAATAAAGCAAGAACTATTACAAATCATAAGCAAGGTGAGCAGGTACAAAATAAAATACAGAAATCACTGTCATATATACGTAACACTCAGCAGGAAGAGGAGAGCAAGGGGGATAAAAGGGCACAATGATTTGCCATCGCAATATAAGCTGATCACGCAGACTGGTGAACCACTGGGATATACATTTGAAACCAACGTAAGATTGTATATTAACGATACTTTAAAAACAAAACAGAAACAAAAATAAAAAACAATCAGCAGGCAAAAGAAAGAAGTCTTCATTTGCCACTGTTATGGGCTGAACTGTACCCCCTAAAATTTGCATGTTGAAGCTCTATTTCCAGTACCTCAGAAGGTGACTTACTTGGAGATAGAGCCTTTAAATAGGTAATTCCTAAACCAATCTGACTGGTGTCCTTATACGGGGAGGAAATTTAGACAGAGACACCAGGGATTGACCATTTGAGGAAAAAGATCACCGGAAGTGAAGAAATAGTAAGAGGTTGTCATCCGTAAGCCAAGAGGAGAGGCCTCAGAGGAAACCAAGTCTGCCAGCACCATCATCTTACTATTATAACTGTGCAAAAGCAAATTTCTGTTGTTAAAGTCACCCAGTCTGTGGTATCTTGTTCTGGCAGCCCTAGCAAACTAATACAATCATACTAACAAAAGAGACAAAACACCTAGGAATAAATTTAATAAGAAAAATGAGGTATGTATTTGAAGAAGTTTTAAAGCACACTCACCTTAAAACATGTTCTATGTTAGAAAGACTAGTTAGAAAAAGCAAATTCTCCTTGATTTAGTCATTAAATTTAAAATAACTCAAGTAAAAATACCAAGAGTTATCTAGGAGTAAACAGGATGGAGAAGTGTATATAATAGCTACCAATTGAGTAAAGAAAAGGGGGGAAAGAGATTTTCTCATTTGTATATGCAAAAACATCTTCTGAAAGGATATACAAGTTCACTGTAACATTCAAGCTATCCTTGGGAAGGGCACTGTTTGAAGCTGCAAAACACAAATATGAACAGAGTAGAGACATTTTGCCAAATACTCTTACAGCTTTTGGGTTTTGAACAGTGTGACTATATTATCTATTTAAAAATTATTAAGAATAAAAAAATACAGAACTTAATTTTTTTTTAAGTATGACCATTCCAAATAAAAAAACAAGAGCTGGGTGGGCTATGAGGCAAAACCCTCCTTGCTGGGGGGTGGAATATAAACTGGTATCATCTTTCTGGTATGCAATCTTCTAATACTTATCAAAAATTTTAAGGTATACACCATTTCACCTAGAAATTCTCTTCAAGAAATATATCTCAAAGAAACAACAGGTCAATAGGGAATTGTTTAATAAATTATGGCACATACAAATAACCAAATACACAGCCATTCAAAAATTGTCAGTATAAAGTAAAAAAAGTAAGAGTGGTGTGTTGATAAATGTCTAATCATTGGCTTTCCAGGTGAGGGAACCCTGTTTTGTAGCATCTGGTAATTTCTGTGGTATCAATCCACCAACCACAGCCATTTCTAAGCTACCAATGTGGTATCATTGAAAGCAGAATCATTAAGAGATGCACACAACAATTGTGTCTTGTGAGCCTATGTAAGCAAGCTCTAGTACACTACTAAGTATAGACTAATGTGTCAAACAGGATTACATTTAAAAGTTACACATAATATTTATAAAACAATATATTTATACTTGTATTACTTGACTTTTTGGTATTTTGTTACATACCACTATGCATTGTTCTGGTTAACTAGTGGCTTAAAACAAAAATTTATCATTATTTATCTCTGACAGTTCTGCCAGGTGACTGGGCTCAGCTGGGTGATTCTCACATAGATTCTCACCAGCAGTCATCATCTGCACCTATGACTGAGTTGGATATGCATATAAGATGGCTTCTTCACCCAAGCCTGGCATCTTAGCCAGGATTGCTGGAAAAGGTGGGAGCTGCCTAGGGATTTCTCTCCCTTTCTCCCTTACCCAACCTCCCTTCATGCAGCCTTTCTATATAGCTTATGACTAGCAAGGGATTCCACACATTTTGTGGTTCCAGAGCAAACCTACTTCTTACTAGAGGCTGGCTTCTCCCACAAGAAGCATTCCAAGAGAACTTGGCAAAAGCTACAAGGTTCTCATGAACCAGCTTCAGGTCCTGCAGAATCACTTCTGCTGCATTCTACTGATCAAAAGCAAATCACAGGCCCAGCCCACTCCAAGGACAGAGACACAAGAACCAAGAAGTATGGTATTGAACGACTGGCTGGAGGCAGAGGAGTATGTATCTCTAAAGAGCAGCTACGAAAATGTAAGAAAAATATAAATAGTGGTAGTTGATGGGGAGGTGTTTTTTTCCTGGAGAAAACTATACATATATAATCAACATTTACAAAACATTTAACTAGGAAAGCTTTGACTGTATTAATGGAATGCCAATAGCTCATTAGATACAATGTGAATTTGGATTATGGTAGGTATCAGTAAATGTTCTACAAATGAATTGCTCTAAGAAATTATCAAAAATGATACTGATATTTAACATATAATATATAATCTCATGAATATCTAAAGTAAGCTATAAAGTAGAGCAATGATCAACTAGATAGAAAACATAATTATGAGTTGTAAATGAATCAGTGCCCAGGACTTATAATCTACATTTACATACACACATTCATCTTTTTGTGACTTCCTTGCATTCTCTACTATGGCGCATTACTTCTTAAAGACAGATGTTCACATAATATTAGGAATGAATGAATTTTATGTGGTATATAAAATGGGTTGAAACATGTAAATTACTTAGATTGTGCTTGACACGTAATAAGTGCTCAAACATATGTTACATGGAGTACAACTGTCCCAAAAGATACTAAAAGGTGATCCATTAAGATATTCTGTAAAGTAAAATTTGGATATTATAATCCACGGAGATTCACATGCACATTTGTGAATAGTATCTCTGGTAAGTCCTGAAATAAGGAACTGTTTATCTTTGTTTATCCCAGTGTTTCCTATGCTGTTATGTACACTTAAATTTCCTCGTCTGAAAACTTAAGGGATTAGAATAGGTAAATTCTAAGGTTTTTTCCTAATAGCCTATGACCCTATTAATCTTGAAACTTTTTCTAGGGGAATTACAGAATAGTTTTTATTATGTTCCAAAAGTTTTCTTTGTCTATTATTTAAAACTCTATCATTCTAGTAAACATGTACATGTTCACCATGATTAGATCCCTTTTTGGCCCCCCAAAAAAGAGAAAGTTCCTATGAAAGTGGAGGGAGGTAAAGGGAAAAATGTGATCATTGAGAAGCTTGCTTAAAATCACATCTGCTTATATTTAATGAATGGTGAGAAAATAACTGAAGAAAATATTTATAAATGTAAAGATGTGGCTTACATAAATAATATAATGAAGAAGAAGGTTAAGAACCTAGAAAATTATAACTAGGAAAACTGTAGTCAAAGAAGTATAGAGGGAGACCTCACCGCACAGAGTTGAGCACAGAATTAGAGGTAGTATATGTGAAACAAGTACCGGCCTGATCAACATGACTTGGGTCAAATCACTTACAAAACAGGGGGCTTGTACTTAGCAACTCTGAGGTTGCCTTCAATTCCAGATGACTGACCAGCTTCAGTCTAAAATACTTGTCTTCAGAGATCTTAGGCTTACAGTAATCCCTTTGTTTTATATACGTGGAATCAAAATCTGGGGAGGTGAATTGATTAGCTCAAAATCACACAGCTAATTAATTCAGTCAAATACTGAGTGCCTACTAAATCCAGGTACATGAAATACAGCAATAAATGAGTCAGAAAATTCTTTGCGCTTTTTAGCTTACATTCTAGGGAGGGGTGGGGACAGGGTGAGGGTGGAGTGCTGTCAATAAATGAGGAAATAAAGAAATCTTACAAGTTCATGTAGTAAGAAACTTAGAACTAATGCAGGATGGGGAATAGGGTTTGGGATGTGGTGAATAGGGAATATTTTTAGATTAAAATGGTCATAAAGATCTCTCCAACGACATGATATTTAAGCAGGGATATGGAGTATATTCTTCAATAAGAGTATTTCAAGCAGAAAGAACAACAATAACAAAAATCCTGAGAGGAGATTTGTTGTCTCTGAAGAATAACAAGGAGACCAGTGTGGCTAGCCAGAGCTGAATGTGCAAGGAGATGGTGGGAAACAAATCAAAGAAGTAGGTAGGGAGGAGCCAAATTATATATGGCCCTCAGGCAATAGAAAGAATTATGGATTTTATTCTAAGAGTAATATAGGAAGTCATTGGAGGGTTTTGTTTGAAGGTGCAACATGATCTCATTTATGTTTTAAAAAGATCACCCTGGCTACTGTGTTGGAAATAAATTGTAAAGGAGCAAGGATAGAAGATGAACTGGAAGACTACTGTACAAGTGTCAGACTGCTTGGACTAAGGTAGAAGAGGAGACGATGAGAAGTTGATGGACTGTATGTGAGGAAGACAGGGCTCAAAAATGGCTCCAAATGTAGGTCTGAGCAACTCAAGAGTGATGCTACCATTTACTGAATGGGAAAGAACTGGAGATGGGATGCAGAAAGCAGGTTAAGGAGAAAAATTAAGAGGTCTACTTTAGAAGGTTAAGGTAGAAATGCCTTGTAGACTTCTAAATGAAAATGTCATTAAACAGACATACTTCTGGAGCTCAGAAATGAAGCTGGGCTGTTAGAGTCTAAAACATGTGACTGAAAAATTGTGAGGAGGGAAAAAAAAGAAAGCCTAAGTGAGAAACTGTATCTTGTAACTCCTGTAGTGTTTAAAACGGTAAAACAGCATGGTACTGTTTTTCATAAATTAGAAATACTGTCCATGTAACAGAAATACTTGAATTAAAGGGAAGAAGTGATAAAAGCAAAAATCAGTAATAGTGGCAAAAACCAAAGCCGTCAGCGAGCAAGAGGTAGTAGAGAGCAGAACTGGGGGACAGAGGATGAGACATGGAACATTCTGAGCTGGGTTAAAGCCAAAACTCCAGGGAAGGCAAGTCAGCACCTGTCCACGGCAAGGGTGGAGTGAGAAAGCAGCTAACTCAAGCAACACCTGTTTGTGAAAGTGCCATACGCAAAGAGGGCTGCAGCCAGAGGGCCAAGAGACTGGGGAAGAGTGTCCAAGTTACTCACAAAGAAAGGCGCTTTCCCTCATGACTGAAAAAGAGAGGAAGGAGAACGCATTATCATCTGGTTATGACTCACCGAGCACAAAAATTCAGGCAGTTAGTATATAAAAGGCTATGTGCTACTTAGAAAGGCAAAGCCCCCTAAAGAAAAAGGAATACAATGTTTAGTTTTTATTTTAAAATAGCCCTATAATGAGCTGAATGAAATAGATTTTATTTGAGAAAAAAATACCAAGTATCTGTTGTATAATTGAAAAATGGACAAATAAACTTTAAAGTATCCTCTTTTATAATTGTCCCTTGAAAACACTGTTATCGCTACTGACATTAGAATATATCACTTCAACAACAGAAAAAACCCACCTGATGTATTTCTTTGTTCTATTTACTGGAAACTAAAAAAGAATCCCAGGATGAGAGGGCAGGTAAGTAGCATCCACTTTAAGCCCTGTATCTTCATTATTGTCTTTTTTCTACAACCTGACTAAGCTGTGTACAACCTATATTCACTATCTTCTAAACAACTGATCTCTACTAACACCACTCTAATTTTGATAAGTAGAATTTTGTAATATAATTTTATTTAACCGTAATGGGACAATACTTTCCTATATTTTGTTTTTCCAATTTAGATCCATAATCCACCGAAGACCCCGGGGCTCAACTCTTTTTTAATTAAATAGAAAACTATTTATGTTAAGTGGGGAAAAATGTCTTGGAAAAAAAAAACCCACCAGGGTATATTTATGTTTATTATGGTGGCTAAATTCAATCCTTGTTTCTGGGGCTGGTTTTTGTGTCAGGGTGGCAGAGTCCTTGGCTTCTTTCCCTATCAAGCAGAATCTATACTTTAATGGAGACACATACTGCATTAGGTCTGCTTTCATTTTATTTATTTATTGTCATCTTGGAAACTTTTTTCACATTGTTTTCTGTCTGGCTTGCTTTCATTTAAAAAAACAGATTCATATAAAATTTGGCTTATACTGAGCCTGTGGTCATCTAATGCCCACATCAAAATAAACTATCCATCAGGTGCATCATATAATCTGTTATGATAAGTGAAAAACACTTCTAGAATGGAGGTCTTTTGATTCCAAATTTTGTACACTTAATTACACTCTATTGCTTTATCTTCCTTTTATTCTGTTTTGAAAAGTCACTTACTTGCCTATCAGATAAAAAGACCTGTCATAATGCTATACAGTAATTAAGACAGTAATAGTGGATTATGACAAGGATAGAAAACAGATCATAGAATAGATAGTGAAGTAAGTTTCATATATGGAAACTTGATATATGACAGAGGCAAAACTACAGATCAGTGGAGAAAAGATGGGAGAGTCAATAAATGGTGCTAACTGGGTATCTACATTTTAAAAAATGGTATCTCCCCTTCACACCACATGTAAAAATAAATTCTACAAATTCAAAATCCAAACATAAAAAATGAAATTTTAGAACTGCTGAAGAAAATAGGACAATATTTTTTATGAGCTTGGAGCAGAGATTTCTTAAATAAGATGCCATTTTTAAAAATGAACATAAAGTTGTATAAATACATTTTTAAGCTTCTGCTCACCAAAGGACTGCATTAAAAAAGTGAAAAGACAGTGTGCCTTTTTATCAGCTGGTGAAGTGCTCCTTCTCCCCAGACCAGAAGACCTCTAAAAAATCACAAGCAAAGGTTTTGTGATAACACAATTGCTTAAAAGCCTATAGCTTAGACTTGTAAAAGGCAGATGTTTAATAGAAATGTGTATTACATTCTTAACTACAGTGTTTATCTTCACCTTAAAGCTTTAATGTACATGTTGATAGTTCATGAAGTTTTTAAAAAAGCCAGCTAACCTCTTCATAGTAACATGCCTTTCTTCTCACTGTTACATATTCTGAAATTTAGACAAGGTTTCCCTTACCTGATATGGACACGGAATGTGATATTCTCTGCAGCGTTCTTGTATCCATGTTGTTTCCCAGATGCCACGGTAAGCTTGCTCATAAAAGTAGCATCCAATTACCACCAAGAGTGGTACGAGATACAAAATGCTGAAAACACCAATCCGGATCATAAACTTCACCAGTTTATCTTGGTTCTCCTTTTCTAATGGAATCTCAATTCGAACTCTGTTTAGTGATATAATGCCAGCTAAGAGGAGAGAAACCCCAACTACCACATACAGGCAGAGGGGAGCAAGAACAAAATATCTCAATGCATCAACATCGTAGAGGCCAACAAAACACACGCCACTGATATTGTCACCTTCAATTTTATTCATCGCTAAAAGGATGATAGTTAGAGTTCCAGGAATGCCCCATGCACTGGCGTGAAACAGCAATGCTTTCTTCTCAATAGCTTCACTACCCCACTTTGGCACAGCTGCCAAGAACCATGTGATGGTTAGAATCACCCACCAAACACTGCCAGCCATAGTAAAAAAATAGAGTACCATAAAAAGCATGGTACAGGCTTTATTATGAGATCCTTGTGTCACCGTGGAAGCCTTATACTGTGCAGGACTAGATGCATTGCAGGCTACTCGGTCCTCAAGCAAAAACCCAATGAAGAAAATTAATGACACCATCATGTAGCAGACTGCGTAAAATATAATAGGTCTTTCAGGATAACGGAATCTTGTGACATCAATCAAAAAAGTTAAAAAAGTGAACAATGTGGCAGAGAGGCAAATGATTGAAATCAATCCTATGAAATATCGAGCAAATGAAAGTTCTTCTCTCCTAAAGTACATATTTGGACAAGGAGGTGAACAATCACGCACGTGCAAAAAAGAATAACCAAGATCAGGATCAATTTTCAACTCTCGGGGACACCAAAAACCATAGTCCCTCTGCACTGCCACTGGGGCTCCTTCAGTAGGATCTCCAGCTAAATTCAGATCCACAAGTCGAGGATATGGCTCATCACAATCTGGGAACCTAAAAAAATTTAAGATGAGAATCATTTTTAGTTATTGGTGAAATACACTGCCATATAACAATTCAGATTTCCAAATTTAGTACCCATGACCTTATTTATTGTTATGGCCTTGGAGCCCAATTATAATAAATAGGAAAAAAGTAAATGGTGATAACCTGTTTGTGGACTATATAACTATATTTTCCATATTTGACCTAAAAAATAATATGGCTTAATAATTTAGTTTTGGCTTCAAAAAAAACCAGTACTCTTTATTAAAATAGCCAACTATAACCACTGATAAAGAACACTGTATATACAGACTATTTATTTAGGACACAGTTTAGACTAAGGTTTCAAACTATATATATATAATATATAATATACAGCTCCAACAGAATAGTAGCTAAAAGTAACTTTTTTTCCAACCTGTAACTACAGTGTGCTGCTCAACTGACTCGAGACTCAGTAGAACTTACTCAAGCTTAAGAGTTAAAAGTCTTTCCTAAATGTGTGTCCCAAGGTTATTTTGAGTTACATTTACACTAAAAATCCTTACAAGTGGCTTAGTTTGTAGATCTTTTCTTCACATTTTATACTCACTCTCTGCTTATCATATTAAAAATCCTTCTAAGGTCTCTAATGTCAACTAGTTCTTTCCTATTATTTCTAATTTCTCTCCAATACATTACATTCTCTAACTCAGTACTCTCAAACTTTGGTGTACATAAGAAAAACTTAAGACCATTTTAAAATGCAAATTCTTGTTCCTTCTCACCCCTAATCATATTTTAGTATGCCTGTGTTAAGGTCCAGAAATCTGCCTCTAAACAAGTTTCTAGAGGAACATAATCCGCAGACTTAAGAAAATGTCATAGCCTCACGACAAAGAAAACAGGTTTATGCTGCAGACATACTTACCTGACTAAGGATGATTCTCATGAACTTTCTGCACCTTCAGTTTTCTTGCTAGTATCAGTTTCACAGCCCTCAAGCTTCAACCAACATGTTTGCTAGTTTATATGTATCAAATAATTTCCAAGAAATTATCTTTGGTACTAAATTTGCCAAAAACATGCACATTATGCTCTAGCTGATTAATGTTTTGTTTTCTAATATAATCCATTTTCTTTACCAGGCTGGGAATTACACATCCTGTGTTCAAGCATTTATTGGAATACTGCAGTATGCTAGAAGTTAAACATAAAAAGACAAACCAGGCTGTCTATCCTTAAGTCTAAAAGGAGACACAAACTTATAGATAGAACACAAAATTCAGCAGTGTGATAATGAAGAAATCAAAATCTATATTAAATATAAAATGATAAACACTAAGAATTTTTTATTATTTCAGGGGAAGAGGTTACAAAAGACTCCACAGAGTAAATTCCTCAACACAGGATTCTGAATCATTATTTGCTAGTACTGAATGCAAGCAAAGACACAGAGGTTGAACAGCGTGTGTTTAGTACTGCTGGACCATGAGGTGTGCACAACTTGTGACAGGTGATAAGGCTGGAGAGGCAAGCATGTCAGAGAAATGTGTGTATATATGTACATATAAACACTGATATAAAATTTAAAACCATGCAAAGTACTACTGTATATTTTTATGGATATATCTGTATATCCAGTTGCCCGACATATACATATACCATATTTCACAACCCTTCCAGCTGAACTCTTAATTTCCGCTTCTTAGGTTTCCCCATCTGCATAAGTGGTAATTTCATTACTCTACTTGCTCAGGCCAAAAACCTTAGGGTCATCCCTCAAGTCTCTTCCCTCTCATATACACCTACCTCATAATCTACCAGCAATTCGTGTCATTCTACTTTATGATATACACAGAACCTGACCACTTCTCATCTGAGCCATCAGTACCTCTTCCCTGGACTTATGGAGTAGCTTCCAACTTACCTCCATTTTCACACACAGCCAGAGCAATCCTTTAAAGACATGATACTGCTGTGCTCATGGTCTTGTCTCTTCTCCTCAAAATCCTTTAATGGTTCCCTACCTCACTCAGTCAAATCCAAATTCCATTTCAAAGCTGCAAAGACCCCAACTCCAGCACTTCTCTCTTCTTTTTGTCCATTCTCCCTCACTCACTTGGCTCCAGCCTCTTTGGTCTCTGTGTTGTCCTTTATACCGAGCATGCTTCCACTCCAGATCATCTGCACTCACTACTGTTCCCTCTGCTCAGACTGTTCTTCCCTAGAGACCTGTATTATTTGTTCTCACTCCATTCAGGTCCCTGTTTCAGTGCCTCCTAAACAAAGAATTTTAATGTTGTCTGTGGACAGGTATATATGTAGTAAGAGCATAAAAGCAAATACAGGAATGATTAACAACATATTCAACATAATGATGACCTCATCTCTGGGAAGGAAAGAAGGGAATGAAGTCAAGATAGAAACTAAGGAAGAAACTTTCAATTCTATCTGTACTGTTTTATAAAAAAAAAACTGAAGTAAATATTATAAGATGTTAAGTTTGGATGAAGTTAGATAATAACAGGTACATATTTATTGATTTTATTAGCCCTTATCCTTGAAATATTTCAGAATATAAAAAGGTACATTATTATATGAGAAATATAGTATTACTGTACACATTATTACTAATAATAATGTTCTCTCATATACATATATAAGACTGTCCAGTAAACAGTCTCAAACCTCTAGGAAATGTTTATAAAATATCTGAAGTGATATGAAAAGCACCCAACATTTTCTAGGTTATGTTAATACATGACAAAAACAGAACTGCCAGAACTACTTTTGTCATTAACACACTTAAATTATACAGATATTTAAATCCCATTATATCATCATTAAAGATATTTAATGAAAGGTAAAAAAATGATTATTTTCTTCTCTGTATTTTCTAATTTCTCATAAATGGCACTACTTTTATAACCAGGAAAAATTTTTAGGAAAGAAAAATCAAATGAATTTCTTGATTATGTCTTTCTTAATTCTTAAAAATTCCTTCATAGAAACGTTTTCTTTTTCTACCTTTTTCATTTAGTGCTTCCAAATTCCTAAGGAAATGAACAATTCTGAGGCTGTGAAACTGCTGTTCAAAATTAAAACTAATACATATAGTTCAAAAAAGTTTTTAGACACTGATAAACTAGAAGACAAATAATTTTAAACACTGCTATATAAGTAAGGATCCATGAAAATCTGATTTTCGCACCTACTGCATTCCATATCTTCAGGCCAAGGAACACCAAACATCTCCATGAGCTTCGAACACTCGCTGTAAGCCCGCTGACACAGCCTACGACATGGAAGTGTGACACGTCCATATTCCATACAAATAGGAGCATAGAGTGCACAGAGAAATGGCCGGAAATCCCGAGAACAATCCAGATTCACCATAGGGTGGAATGGCTAGGAAAAAGTTAAAATTGTTTCATTAAAGAAAGAGTTATATACAACTTAAAACTTTCTATATATAATATTACAATGCTCATTTTCTCCATTTGAAAACATTTCTGAAGGTTATTAAAATTTTGTTTAAAAAAACAAAAATTCTTAGCCCTATCTCTGGAGATTCTGATTTGATTAGGTCTGAGGTATGTCCCAGAATTCATATGTGTATTTTAATTAATGAAGGTGATATTAATGAAGAAGCAGGGCTGAGAACCACAATACAATCCATTTTACATAGGAAAAAAAAATCCTCAAAAAAGATGTGCCAAATGTTCATAAAAGTGATTACTGCTTGGTGTTAGAATTATAAGAGATTTAATTCTACATGATTTTGAATTAATGATGTATCAACAGGATAGAGAGGACAAGAAGTGAAAGGAGGAAGGTCTGAGAGGAAGAGAAGTAGTTATACATTGAAGTACTAATTTTGAGGGTTGGACCTCACATTTGGGAAGGATCTCACATTTGTCTCATGTTTTCATGTTCATGATAAAAATTTTTTAAACAAAGTTCTTTAAATGCTGAAATCACATGATGTAAACAGAGCTAACAATGTAAGCTGACATTAAGGAAACAAAAAGAAAAATTGGTGGCCCCAAACATAAAACCATACTGAAGTAGTCATTATGACCATAGGAACAGATCAAATAACCCAAGAAATGTGCACCTGGGCTTTGACTATCAAATATTTTTTCCACTTGTTTATATACTAGTGTCAGAGTCATCACTGATTTTGAACTGATAATAGATATTCTCACCAACAGGCCTTTCTATTGAATAAGAATCAATCAATTTTATTTCTACCATGATACATATTTTTCAAAGGCCTCTTAAACACCAAGCAGTCAGAAAGCCAAGAGTCACTTAAAGAACTGATACCAAAGCTATATAATGATGTGGTAACTGACATATAACAATAAATTATATGTGACCATTACTTCCAAGTAATGGTCTGACACAGAGTCAGTGTTAAACCAGTATTTCCATCAAGAACAATGTTAAAATCTTTTTTTAAAAGTTTCAAATTATCTACTTAAAGCTATTGGAGAGCTGCTGATAAAACAGAACTAGAGGGTCCAAGAATCAGAGAGCAGGGAAACGTGAACAGGTAGTAAATTCAGCTACTTTTCCAAGGAGGCAAATGTTGAATATGGGTTTAAGACAGGAGGCTAAGAATCAAGCTTTGCTTATGCTAGTGCTAGAGAACAAAGAAACCATCAGAGCTTTGGTGGTCTTGCAAGGCTACAAAAAAATTAAAAATGAAAGAGACAAGATCTATGTGAGACGGTGATGTGCCAAGAATTGAGCCTGATACAGAGCCAGTTTTTCCTTCAAGATATTTGAAAATTCTGAAGCTGAACAAAAGAAGGAGGCTAAGAAGCTAAGCAGAAAGTATCTGAAAAGCAGAGTGGAGCTTTTGGCAGCTTTATCAAGCTGAGGAAGCATAGATTAATTTTCCAGTCCTGCCATGGGAACTGAACATACCAGTCTCTCAACTGGAAGCATCTGAATGAGTACACTGTATTGGCAGAAGCAAATCAAAGGGAGGCAGAGACCAAACAAAACTGTAACCCAGCTTTAACTCAGCTCAGTCCGTGACTTAATTAAGATGATCTGCCCCCATTTATCTGCTTAGCAGGAAAAAGGATGAATCTTCCCTGAAGTACTGTAACATCATCTGGAACCTCACCAGTATTTTGTAAGATGTGGTACTCAACAAAAAGTTACTTGGCATGAAAAGACAGGACCACATGACTAAAAAACCAAGTAAAAATTACAATGGTTTTGTGATTTAGCTATTGGACTCAACAGAGAAGAGTATATAATTATGACAAATACACTCAAAGATGAAGAATTTCACCAGAAAATCAGAATATATTATAAAAGGAACCAAATGGAAATTCTATAACTGAAATACATAATCACTGAAATTAAGAATTCAGATATATCAGAGATAGAATTGGCAAAATATAAACTGATGAAAGATAACCTACAGGTTCAAGATTCTGCAAACCCCAAGAAGGATAAATACAAGAGAACCATACCTAGGCAAATGTTACTTAAATTGTTGAAAATCAAATAAACAGGCAGTGGGAAAAAAGATATCCTTTTAATGGAGAAACAGCAACACTCAGAGCTGACTGGAAAACCAGAAAACAAAGATTTATTTAAAGTGCTAAAAGAAAATAATTTTCAACCTATAATTCTATAGCCAGCAAAAGTATCCTTCATAAATGAAGGCAAAGTAAAGGCATTTTAAGACAGGCAAAAACTGCAAAAATTAGTAACCAGCAAACTTACAAAAAAAGAATACTCAAGAGTTCTTCAACAAAAGGAAAATGATCAAAGATATAAAAACAAAATTAAGAGCAACAAAAGGGGTGAATATGTGGGAAAATCTAAGTGAATGTTCTTTGTACCAATAAAAAAGGTCTTAAAATATATATAAAATACATGTAAATTAGTAAGTGTAATAATAAAATGGAAAGGATGAGAGGGTCAGAGAAGCATTAATGGGATAGCGGTTAGAGCAATTTTTATTAGAGTATTACAAGACATGGGCATGTATCATCATTTTTAGAGTAATTAATAAAAGAATGTATAATAAGGTGATAAAGAGGGAAACAGAATTATACAAAAGAAGGCAAGATTAGAAAGAAAAAAATGCACAACAGTTTGGAAAAATTGAAATGAAATAGTAAGATGACAGATATTAATCCAAGTATATCAGTAATTTCATTAGATATAAAAGGACTAAAACTTTTAAGGAAAGACTGATTTTTGGATGAGGTTAAAAAATGAGAACAAGAAAAAGCTATGTTATTTGCAAAAGACACATTTTCTATGTAAAGACACAGGTTAAAAGTAAATAGAAGGTAAACAATAAGCAATCCAAGAAGTAGCCAAAAGGAGTAGGCTTTATGACAAAGGGTGTTCTCAGAGATAAAGAAGGGCATTTCATAAACACAAGATAAGACTTAATTCACCAAGACTAAAAAGCAAATCTAAACACATGCACCACTTAACATAGCTTCAAACTACTTAAATCAAAAACTGAACTGAAAGGGGAAATACACAAATCCACAGAGTGAGAGATTTATGATCATAACACCCAAAAATGACTGGAACATATTTAACAGACTCACGGAATCTTTACCAATATTGGCCATATTCCAGGTCCTAGAGCATGAAACAACAAACTTTAAAGTACTAAAATTATTCAGACAAGGTTCTGTGACTAAAATATAATTAAGGTAGAAATCAATTACAGAAAGGGCACAAAAAATAACCCAAAGGTTTGGAATTTTGGAAATCAGATAGCAAACTTCTACATTACCCATAACCACAAAGGAAATTGTATGTACTATACAGCATAACATATATATAAATATAAAGTATAATATATATATCAATATATACTGATACTTGAACAACACAGGTTTAAACTGTGTGGGTCCACTTATGCACAGATTCTTTTCAATAAATATAATGGAAAATTTGGGGGGATTTCTAACAACTTCAAAAAATATTTTTTTTAGCTTACTTTATTGTAAGAACACAGTATATAATAGATACATAAAATACGTGTTAATTGTAGCAGACTCACAGACTCCAAGTAGGGACTAGTGATTACCAAAGGGAAGGGGTTGGGAGAGGATGTGTGAGGAGGAAGGGAGAAGGGGATTAAAGGGCACTACAATTAGCACTCACAATACAGGAAGGTCATGGGGAAGGCAGTACAGCATGGAGAAGAAAAGTAATGACTATAGCATCTTACTACGCTGATAGACAGTGACTGCAATGGGATGAGGGAGGGACTTGCTAATATGGGTGAATATTGGAATCATAATGCTGCTCGTGTGAAACCTTCATAAGATTGTATTTCAATGATACCTTAATTTTAAAAAATAAAATAAAATATGCATTGACTGTTTATATTACCAGTAAGGCTTCTGATCAACAATAAGCTATTAGTAGTTAAGTTTTGGGGGAACCAAGTTATACACCGATTTTTTACTGCAAATTTTTGTTTTGGGGGAACCCAAAGTTATACACAGATTTTTGAGACAGGGGGTCAGTACCCAAACCCCTATACTGATAAAGGGTCAAACATGTATATATACGCATGTATATAAACACACAAATATATTTATATATACATACACATGTTCTCTTTCTATACATATTTATTTTCATTCTATATAGAGTATTAAATAGTAAAGATGACAAAATATCAGAAAAAGCTGTATTCATGAGAAATCTACCACCTGATATGCATATATATCAGAAAATAACAAGGCCTGAAAAAAAATGGTCTAAGCTCCATCTCAAGAAGCCTGAAAAAAAGGGGCAAATAAGAGAGAGTAGAAGAAAGGCAATAATAAGTAAAATAGGAAAAAAGCCCTCAAATCACCCATTATTAGGAATGAGGGAGAGAATACTACTAGAAAAATAGTGTGGATACTATAAATAATAAATTTGATATTAGGATGAAATGAACAAATTCCTTGAAAAAAAATTACAATTTACCAAAACCCATAAAAGGAGAAATAGAAAATATAGTCTTCTATCCGCAAAGAAATTTAATTCATTAGAAACTGTCCCCAAAAGAAAACTCCAAGCCAAGATGGCTTCACTAGAAAATTTTATCAAGCATTTAAGGAAGAAGTTATGGCAATCACACACAAACTCTTCCCACAAAAGGGAAAAAAAAGAAACTTTCCCAACTCATGAAACCAGTTTAATTTTTATGACAAAATCCAACAGGGACTATACAAGAGGGAAAATTATACCTCATGACCATAGATGTAAAAATCATATCCTAATATTAGTAAGTTAACCCAAAAAACATAAAAAATAATATACCACATCAAATGAAGTTTTTTCCCCAAGGATACAAAATTGATCAACATTTGAAAAATCAGTTAATGTAATTAATGTCATTAATAGAAAAAGGG